TGTCTGTGTTTGTACATAATAGTAAAAATACACTACTGTCAAAAGTTTAAGATCAGTACGATCATAAGTCTGCATTTATGTAACTGTTTTTAATTTAACTCATTTATCTAGATGCTTTAATATAGATGCTTACTGAATAAAATAAATCATTTGCTGGCCTCACACTTTTAAAAAGTGTTGTATATATTGCTGTTTTTAATATGCATTGTTACATTGGCGCTTATAAATGAAAATAAATAAAAATCATTATTTTTGTGTTTCATGCAACCCAACGTTTCTCTTTTTTTCATTCATTGACATGTTGGCAGGATATCCATTTTGTCATTGTGTAATTGTGCTGAAAATTGGCAATTACACGGCAGAACTCAAACAAACACATTTTAATGATTATTTGTACAGTGTGTTTCCAGTGGCCAGTATTCTTGCAGTTTCATTTCAGCTTCATCCTCAATGCTCAATTCATGTGCTGTTGTCCTTCATAGTGCTGTCATGCGGCCACAGTCATTTCTATCATGACTGTTCAGCACTTCCCAGAACAAGCCCACAGGTCCATTTCCTTGAACCTCGCTATCAGTGATTTTCTTCAAGCATATGCTGAGATTCAACAACCCCTCCAGCACAGCTCCCCTCTCCTCCCAAAGGCCAGGAAGTTGCATTTTAATTGAAGATTAACATAAAGCCATAAATCATAGGCAAACTTCTGTAGAGGCACTAAGATCAGTATTAATGCACAGTGACCCAAAGCAGCAAAATAGAAGTGAACATGGGTAAAGAGAAATAAGGATATGCTATTAAACTTTGATTAGATGTCCCACTAATTTACTGTCTATCTTTAGGAAGGGAATCTAATTTGACAGGCCTATATTTAAATCCCTGATGTATTTGTATAGTGGTGGTCTATATGAGTGGTAGGGTGAAGTAGCTTTGTATGATCTGCTTTACTTGTTGCTGTGTGATATGAACCAGGACTGTGCCCTCTTTGTCTCCTCTTTGGTAGGGTATGATGTACCTGGAGGAGAGGCGGCTGGTGCACAGGGACCTCGCGGCCCGTAATGTCCTGGTGAAATCTCCAAACCACATTAAGATCACTGATTTTGGACTTGCTCGACTGCTGGAAACCGATAAAAAAGAGTACAGTGCGGATGGAGGCAAGGTCAGTGTTTGAAACATGCATCAGAATGCACTACAAGGTAAAAGCAAATCAAATCCAAAGGTGATTTATGGAAAATCAGCAGTATTAATTTGTGTTAGCCAGCAGTTTTTCTTGTAAAGAACTTTCTTAAATCCTTTGTGTGAAAGTTTGATGGCTCTCATTGGGACTCTCAGTTAATGTTGCATTCCATACCTTCCCTGAAACAATTAAAGTATTCTTCATTATTATACATCCTTTAATCAAAACTATCTAAATTGTCATGCTGCATTGATATGGAAATGCTCTTTGCATTACCTTTTTTTTCCCTACTCTAGATGCCCATTAAGTGGATGGCCCTTGAGTGCATTCACTACAGGAAGTTCACACATCAGAGTGATGTATGGAGCTATGGTGAGACACACAGTGAAGCAAATTTTGTTTTACTACTATTTTTTTTTCTGATCAAATTCGTAAAAATACTATTATTTAATAATATTTTACAAAATTGTTATCCTTTTACAATATTATGTTTTATTATTTTGTGTAATAGTTTTAGTAGTTCAATCTATAATTATTTATTTGTTTGTTTGTTTGTTTGTTTGTTTGTTTATTTATTAAGATCTATTTTTGGCAAATGTATGCGTTTATTTGGATAGGACCGTAGTTAGACAGAAAGCGAAGTGAGTGAGAGAGAGAGAGGGTGGACGGGATCAGGAAAGGTCCGCAAACTGGGACTCGAACTCGGGACACCAGAAGCGCAACGGCGCTACATATGGGCGTCTATCAGCGCCGCACAGTTTATTTTAATTTGTTGTGTTCTCAAAGAATTCTATAAGCAAAATTAAGGATTAAATGCAAATTAGCATAGTTGGGAGTATAAAACTGCAAAGAGCTGCTAAAAAAAACACAATTGGGATACTGTTTTCTACATGGTAATGAAAGTTAAATGTAGGTGAAGACAGCACGTTCTCTATAAGTTTCACATACACCTCCTGTAGTTTCATTACCATCTTGCTAGCTAACAGTGGACTATGTTTCACATTCATTCAGGGGTGACTATCTGGGAGCTGATGACGTTTGGAGGAAAGCCCTACGATGGGATTCCCACACGTGAGATTCCAGACATCTTGGAGAAGGGCGAGCGTTTGCCCCAGCCAACCATCTGCACCATAGACGTCTACATGGTGATGGTCAAATGTGAGTCATATTCTGAGACTTTCTAATCTGTTCATACAGTATATGCTTTCCTTTTTATCGACCAATGGTAGAGGAAGTGTTTCAGAAACCTGTTGTTGTTTCAGAAACTCCATTTGGTGGCACAGAAATTATGCACTTCACCTTTAATACAATTATGCTTTGCCATTTTGCTAATGAAGTCAAATGTAAAAAGCGATAGCCAAATCTGGTACGTTCGTCTTGTATTTGCTGTCACTTTTATATCCAGCTCTCTTTATGCACTCGCACTCTATTTGTTTTGGCACAGTCAATTCCACAAAGAAGTGAAAAGAGATGAATATTAGATCTGTTCGGCATAATCAGATTTGACTGGAAGCCGCCGTTTATGATTTGATTCAACATAACAATTACAACACCTCAGAGAGTTTAATATTCTTACATGAAATCCACTTTTATTGCTTTCCATGTGTGTAATGTGTCAGATTGGAGGGTAAATTAAATGGAATTAAGAAATTAGGATCAAGCAAATTCCAAACTCAATATATGCAAATATATAAAATGCATATATAGAGTATTTATTTATTATATGAAAATGTAAAGGAAGATTTTACTTGCAAAGTTGAATTTTGTTGTATATTTCTGATTTACTGTTGGCCTGTCTTCACCTCCAGGCTGGATGATTGATGCTGATAGTCGGCCTCGGTTTAAAGAACTCGCTGCAGAGTTCAGCCGCATGGCACGAGACCCTCAGAGATACCTCGTCATACAGGTGGGGATTGCTTAACTTCTCTCTGCTTGAAATTTTGAAACGTTCCTGGAGTTCAGTGGATAATACTAAATGTCATCTCAGGGGGACGATCGCATGAAGCTGCCCAGCCCCAACCACAGTAAGTTCTTCCAGAGTCTTCTAGATGAGGAGGAGCTGGATGACCTGATGGATGCTGAGGAGTACTTGGTTCCTCATTCCTTAAATGCTCCTCCCACTTCCCATATGCCCCACCCACATGTAGATTCAAATCAAGTAAGCACCATGGTACCACAGTTTATGTCACGTCACAGCAGGAATCAAAATACAAACAATAAACTATGTTTTTAATTTTATTTAATTTTATTGTTTTATTTTGTTTTGCAAGTTTTCTGCCCTTTCCTTAAGACATCATGTGTTTTTATTCCTAGTACATTTATGGACATAATTACATAAAAATTTTAATTCTTCTTTAACATAATCATTGTTTCCAGGTTTTACAGTAATGCTAGATTTTCAATCCCAGTTTATCAGCACGGTTTCAAACCTTTTGATCTACTGTATTTGTTTATTAATATTTTTGGCTTATTTGTTCATTCATTCACCTATATGATGATGAATGCTTTACATTTATACTCCTATTCAAAAGTTTGAGGTCAGAAAGATTTTTGTTTTTAAAGTTTTGGAAGAAGTCTCTTATGCTTGCCAAGGCTGTATTTATTCAAAACATACAGTAAAACAGTAATACTGTGAAATATTATTATAATTTAAAACAACTACATCTATCTATTTTAATATATTTTAAAATTTAATTTAATCCTATGATGCAAAGCTGAATTTTCAGCATCATTACTCAGTGTCACATTATCATTCAGAATTTTTTTTTTTTTAGGATTCTTTCATGGTTCAAACAAACAGCATTTATTTGAGATTTAAATATTTTGTAATAATGTAAAACAAAAAAATTGCTTTTACTTCTGATCAATTTAATGCATCCGTGCTGAATAAAAGTATTCATTTATTTCCTAGAAAAAAAATACTTGGTCAAACCGAGGTCAAATTGGCACTGAACACTATATGGAGCAGTACCTCTGCACCTTGCTTTTATTATTACTGTTTGAATAGACTCTCTCCATTGCCAAGTTGGTCACAGCCTTTCATTTCACCTGAGTAAGGAAAAGAACAGGCAAAATTACATTCACTTCCTGCTTCATACAATAACGTATCACTTTAAACTTGAGCTTTGATATAGCTTAGAAAGTGTTAAAAATCTCACATATACAGTATGATCAATACAATGGTGTCCAAAAGACCACATTGAGAATCATGAAAAGCAAAAAAAAAAATGTTAGGATGTTTTCACTAGTGGTCTCACACTTTTGGACCCCAGTGTATATATATATATTGTGTTTCTTCTGAATGTTTTTCCTATGGACATCTCTAAAGCATATTTTAACTTATTTTACCTTAAGTAAATTTTTTGTTCCTCCTGTGATCAGAACCAGTTTGCGTATCATGATGGAAGTTTGTGCCCTGAAGAGGTGATAGGATCCCGACCTCATGAGGCAGTTGCTACAGGAAGTGGCCCCTCTGTCCCGGCAGGTATACAAAGATCAGGTCTGGACCCAGCAGATGAGCAACACTGCAATGGAAGCTTAAAGAAACAGCCCACAGCTCACTCAGTAGAGGAGAGCAGTGGACAGCGTTACAGTGCAGACCCAACTGTCCTACTGGGAGAGAAAGGACAGATGGAAGATACAGATGAGGATGGTTATATGTCCCCTATGAAGGGCAAGATCTCCACAAGTATGTTCTCAAATATTTATTATAGAATTTGTGAATAGGACCGTTATTATTAGATCGTTTACTCACCCTTGTGTCATTCCAACCCTGTTTGACTTTTTTTTTTATCTGTGAAATTTAGAACAAGACATTTTGAAGAATGTACCGGTAATTTTTTATGCAATTACGATGAATAGGGACCAAAGTTTTTAGTATTAATTTAGTTGTCTATTAATATTTACTTTTTGAAAACATGCTGTAAAATGTTTTTCCTTATATATATATATATATATATATATAATTTTTTATGTTAAGTATTTTTAATGAAGCAATTATTTTTTCCTAATTGTTCAGTTTTTTTCTTTCTTTCTTTTTTTTTTTGTTTGTTTGTTTGTTTGTTTTGTTACTGTCTAGGCCTTACTACTAATCTCCTTTCTACTACTTTAATTGTATCAAAGAACTAACCTGTTCAGAAGATGTGCAGCGCTTAAGTTGTATAAACCATGTTTATGATTCATAATTATTTTTTATGATTTTTATGGGTTTAGAGTGCTTTTTTGTTTTTTGGAGCTGGATAGCCCAGGTCCTCAATCACTTTCATTATATTTAAGAAAAGTGGCCAAGACATCATTACACATTTGCTGCCTTATGTTTCACCAAAGAAAGAAACTACAGTAAAAAGTCATAATATGACATGAGAGTGAGTAAAGTATAACTACAATGTTTTATCCATGTCATTGTCTATCTTCTTTGCAGATCATCTGAACCCTGTTGAGGAGAATCCTTTTGTAACAAGGCGTAAAAATAAAGACATTCATGCACTAGACAACCTGGGTTACCACAGCGCCCCTGATGGGAAGCCCAATTGTGAAGATGAGTATATCAACGAGCCCCTTTACCTCAACACATTCAACAACCCCAGCGGCATGAACCAGGAGATGTTAAGGAAAAATGGAGTCTCCATCCCATTGCAGGTGACCACAGCAGCCCACACTCAAAGCACCCATGTTCCCCACATCGCACAATTGGGAAAACCCCATCATCACAGCAACGGACCGCACGTTCATTTCGCCATACCGCCAGTTCAGCCGGTACACCCTGGACCGATGAGCCAAAATGATCAACAAGCCCATTCAGTTCAGTTGGTTCATGATCATGGCAGTAAATCTGTCCCACCAGCAGGCCAGATCTGTCTAGTGAGCCATCAAGTCCAACCAGGGCACCCAAACAAATCTAATCGTTCGCCCCAACAGTTTCACTTGGCAAAGTCTGGTAAAGGTGGCACAATGGGCCTACCGGGTCATCCGGTGCAACCGGGCACCCAGATTGGGACCGTATTAGTGGACAAGATGTACAAGAATAGCTTTGACAATCCTGAGTATTGGCAGCAAAGCCTTCCGCCCAAGGTTACCCCTCAAAACTCCCAAGACTCTTCGGTGATCTGCAATAACAAGTTCCTTTACAAGCAGAATGGCCACATACAGCCTGCCGTGGCTGAAAACCCTGAATATCTGTCTGGTATGAAGCCAGGAACAGTCCTGCCTCCTCCTCCATACCGGCAGAGGAACACTGTGGTCTAACGTCCAGGTCTCCATGCTCCGTAGAGCCTGGTTCTTCTACCAGCACCTTAAATGTCTTTCTTTGACCCTCTGGTGGTCAAAAATGGGACGAGAAACAATATAAGCCACTGAACTGCCATTATGTCACATAAAATAATGGCATAAAAACCATTGGGGAAAGCTCAACGCAACCCATCCATCCACAAAGACCTCGCCAGTTGTCCAGGAACGTTTTTTTTCTCCTCCACAGGTATTTTAAAGTCTCTCATATGGGATGGCACATAATCAGATGTACTAACATCATTAATTTATTGAAATTAGATATTAAGTACACTCTAAAAAATAAAAATTCCAAAGTTTCACAGCAATGCCATTGGACTTGGGTGTCCAGTTCTGCTCCTTGAGGGCCAATATCTTGCTGAGTTTAGCTCCAACTAGCTCCAACACACTTGCCTGGAAGTTTCTAGTGAGTCTGAAGACCTTGATTACTTTGGTTCAGGTGTGTTTAATTAGGGTTGGAGCTAAAATCCTGTAGAACAGTGGCCCTCCAGGAAGTTTTGGACGTCCCTACTATAGAAGAACCATTCTGGGTTCCCCAGAGAACCTTTCGGTGAACAGTTCTTAAAAGAACCATTTTTCCTTAGTGAAAATGTTTTTTCCACTGTAAAGAACATTTTGTGCAATGGAAAGATTCAATGGATGTTACAGGCTCTTCTTGGAACCATAGATGCCAATAAAGGATTTTTTATTAGTATTGTTTATATTTAAGAGTGTACAGTAGGTGGTTCCAGCTGGGTGGTTCCATAATGAAAAATTTGATTCTGAATGGACAGAGAAGTGTATTTTAAAGATTCTAGGCGTGAATATGCACTTGAATTTTATATTTCTGTGACTGGAACACTTGCACTTTTTCAGCACATCCTACATACCGCTAAAACTGCTGCCCTACTGGGACGACTACTGTTAGACCTGAGAGGATTGTGAAATTATGGACAGTCGAGTTCCTCAGCACAATGAGTTGAATAGGAGGCTGATAAAGGCACTGCGAATCATTTGTTCATATTGGGAATACAATAGAATAATTGTCAATGGGGTTATTGCCATTTGGTGAGTGGTGAACTCACCTGTTGAGAGATATGAAGAATTAATTATCAGGAAGAATGGCACTGAATGGTTTACAGGGTGTTTACATTAATTTACTTTATCGGTACCTGAACTGAGTAAGCACTGACAAAGGGTGTCTGGGAACTTTAATTCTCCTTTGTCAGAATTTAAAACTGTTACTTTTCAGTTCTTAGTTTAAAAGACTTAACCTGAGTTAGTCAATATGCTATCAAAAGTTGAAGTTAGTCAACATGAAATCAACCCTTTTTACTTTCTTAATGTTCCTGTTATTCCACTTTGTTAACACCCATGTTTTATAATTGTTCATCATAATGTGTAACTCGTTCCGTTGAAATGGCTTTCCTTTTTGGCTGACATTACAATTGTTTAACCAGCAGACAGCTAGCTACTGCTGCATTGTTGAAGCTACTGTTGCAGATATTACAGCCTTTCTAAATTATTTTCATTGTTAATTGTTAATGCAATAATTTAAAGTTAGCTAATAGTAATGTGATAACGTTACGGCAATAAAAGCAAATAAAGATCGATTTGAACAAGTACGTATTTCCCTACTGAACTTGACCTTCAGTCTCCAAGTCCCAGTCAAAAAGCCTTGTCAGAAGTAGGTTTAAGTGGATTTTTATAAGTTTCACGGTTGACAAACTTGCATTCAGGGCATGTTATGCCAATTTTCACAATCTAGTCATTTCCTGGCTGATAAAATCAATTCTGAATATTCTGCTTAGCATCACAGTTAAAAGTAAATTGGGTTCTGAAAGCAGTTTCATGTTGATTTTCAATCATACATTTTCAGTGTTTTGTAGATGATATTTTGCCTCGGTATTCGTTTTTATGTCTAGACTGCATTCTGATTCCAACTGAAGTTAGCAAATCAAATAAATGCATTTCATTTTAATCTGCGGGTTAACATAATCACTAGTAATTTTGAGTGCAATTCAGAGTGTCAATACTGAGCCTTTGTCAGATCTGTAATTGGAAAACGGAATTTGGGCACAACATTTATTTTGTTATCATTACTATTTATTCACAGTGGCTGCTATACATTTTTATTTGGGGCATTTCATTGTATTTCATAACAACTTTTCTAGTTAAAACAGCAGGTTTACTTGAATTAAGGAGGTTGGACATGTGATGCTGTGTTAAGTATCACAATTTCACATGACTGAGCTGTATTTTGAAAAATTGTAAACACAAAAAGACTTTAATGTGCCATTCTTCAGCGCTAACATAATTCAGAAAACAGACGTTAGTCTGTATCACTGTCAGTGGTCTAAAATAATTTTTGTTGTTGTCTGTCTATGTTGTCACATCTAATAGCAAGTGTAGCACACATACAGTAAGTGTTGCCCTGTAGTTTCCAAACTACTGTCACTTGTAGTTTCATGTTTCTGTGTAGCTTTTACTGATGTATTGTCAGAAGACTAGTTTGTAGGTCATAATCCCATTTTGGTGACGTTTTGTCCAATTTGTGGCATATAAACACAAAGACATTATTGTTACAATTAATTAAATAAGGGATATTGTGTTGCAACAAGATGCGCAAACATTTTAATCGCCTTTAACTGCCAAATATCACAAAGTCTAATGTTAAGGCATCATTATGAACCTTTGATTTACAAATGCCATTTTTGGTAAGAATTAAGCTGTTTTAGTATAGATTATCGGCCAGTGTGATCTCAGTGTTAGATGAAGGTATTCGTACATGTGTGCATGTGTACATATTTGTACATTTAGATTCAAGTTAAGAGCATTATAAAGTTTAAACCTTTTTACATGTGTAACTTTAAAGATGAATCTCATAAAATCTGTGATATATTTTTTTTTGATTCTCTAAAATGTGTATGTACACTACCATTTAAAAATGTGGGGTCATTTTTTGTGCTTTATGCTCACCAAGGCTGCATTTATTTGATAAAAGCAATACAGTCAAAATATTTTAAAAATAATAATAATAAATACGGTGAAATAATATTAGAATTAAATATATTTTAAAATGTAATTTATTCTTGTGATGGCAAAGTTGAATATTTAGCATCGTTACTCCAGTCTTAAGTGTCACATGATCTTTCAGAAATTATTTTGATATGCTGATTTGGTGCTCAAGAAACATTTGTTCTTGTCAATGTTGAAAACATTTGTGCTGCTTAATATGTTTGTGGAAACCATGATAGATGGATTTTTTAATGAATATTAAATACAAAAGAACAACATTTATTTGAAACAAATCTTCTGTAACTATTTAAATGTTACTATTTCACTGAAACTTTTGATCAATTTAATGTGTCCTTGTTGAATAAAAGTTTAAATAAATAAAACTTTTCAAAAAAGAAAAGCAAAATGCCCCCAAACTTTTGAATGGTAGTGTAAAAGGGTTTGCAGTTTATATTTTCTCAATACATTGATAAGTGAACCACACTTTACATATTAAACAATGCCTATATGAATACTAATGAGATAATGTTGAACTGGCTGAAATTCTTTAAATGAACCATATTTAAAATAATTTAATCATATTTCATAATTTTACTTCAATCATTAACTTGACATGTAAACTGATGCATGTGGAACCACTGCAGGGAAGCATCTTTTTACACAAATTTAGCATTTTTATGGACTGCCGAGAATCAGTGTAAGATTCACACAATTTACAGTAACTCAGTATTCACTATCTACCAAACTGTATATGTACACACCATGTAGTGCGAAGTACAGAATTGTGTACACACTTACAAACATACAACATTTTGTGTGCAGTAAAATGCACTGTATTTCTGAGCCACGGAAGTACAGGCATTTGGAGTGACTGCTCTGTAACAAGTGTGTTCCTCTAAAGAAAAGTGAAAAGTATTTTTGTAGAGTGTTGAAAGATTTATGGGGAGTGTAAATATATAGAGACTGTTGCATCAAGACTTTTTTTTAGTCATTTCTTTGCCATCAAACGTTCAGTCTGTTTAACATGCGCCATCTGTAGTAATGGTCTGACATTGTGTCAGTAACTTTGTATTTGTGACGTTTGATTTGATCTCAAGTGATGTTCTGTTTTCCTCGGGCCTGTTTCTTTGTGTGTCATGCTCTGTTCTGTGGATTTCTTCTCTTGCTGCTTTTATGGTTAGCTGTGGCCCTTTCCTTCTCTCCATAAGTGCCCATTTTCTCTATTTCTTTACCTTTGTTAGTTGTAAATATGACTGTTTAAGACACGACATTAATTATCTACTCATGTCGACCTAATTTCAAAACAAAATACTGATCTATCTAGAGTGAACTATCTTTATTTATTATATATTTGTTTTGTATGTCTGCATTTGGTTTGATTGCTTTTTATTAGATATGATCGTATGTACATGGTGAGTTAGGAGAGAACTGCTCCACTGAAGCACTTGTGGTATAATTTGTTTAAAATCACTGGGTGGACAGTGCATTATTACTGATGGTGGTATGTGCAAAGCTAACTAGAAATATGTCAAATAATTTACAGTAGCCTAAAAAAGTATTCGGACACTTAAAGGGATAGTTCACCCAAAAATAAAAATTCTGTCATTAATTACTAACTCTCATGTCGTTCCAAACCCGCAAGAACTTCGTTCAACAACATGAGTGTGAATAATTAATGACAGACTTTTCATTTTTTGGTGAGCTATCCTTTTAAAGCAGCACTATGTAACGTTTGGCGCTCTAGCAGTTAATAAACAGAACTGCACACATCCCGCGGAAGAACATTCCAACCGGAGCTACTTCTCTAAGTTTATGTCTATGGTGATTCACGCAGGTATGTGTTACTCCGCAGCGGTGACGCCCCGACCAGGCTACAATAGTCCAAATATAAGTACTTATTATAAGTGTACCGTAGTGATTCGGAATAAGACAAAAACGCGGTTTGGAAGATGAATTCATGATGTACTCGCTAATTACATACATTTTGCAAATTTTGAACACAGAAAAAGTTACATAGTGCTGCTTAAGTCACACTTATTTTCGGTGCATTTTATAACGAAATATTAAACCAAGTGGCTTTTGCAATCATACTAGAACTTTCTCAGAATCAACATTTTTGCATTGACTTTATCCAGCTGGGGATTTTTTTTTTTTTTTAGTAAATGTATGAAGTCAGTTCCTGCCAGTTTCCAACTGGAAAGTGTCAAGATGCTTTTTTTTTTTTTATATTTTGAGCAGTGTATTGCTTCATAATTTAAAACCTAACAGACTTATTTTTGTGAAATATTTTCTTTGAATGGCATTTGGTTTGATATTTTGTTATTTAACACAGTGATATTCAGACGTAAGTGTGGCCAAATTATCTTTGGGCCACTGT